ATTTCCTCCCCTTACCTCCCTACAATCCACTCCCCTGTTTTTGTCAGAAAGGGACAGGTCTCCCACAGTTATCAACAATGCATGGCATAGTTGAGGTAGGACTAAGCTCCTCCCCTAGTATTAAGACTGGCCAGGGCAGCCCAGTATGAGGAATAGATTCCCAAAAGCCAGCCAAAGCATTAGGGACAGCCCCTGTTCCCACTGTTAGGAGTCCCACAAGTAGACTAAGTTACTCAACTATCACATATATGTAGAGGGCCTAAGTGGGTCCAGAGATTGTGGGAGTGACCAACCAATGACTGGTCTAGCCTCAGTCCCATGCCATGAGAATGAGCCCACCCCTGACTCTCACAGCCTGGAACAACAGGACCCAGAGATTGGATGACCCAGAGACCTAGGGTAGAATCAAACACAGTTAGAGGGAACAAAAAATGCCAACATAATGGTGCCTAACAATATTTCTTAACATTTTAGAACTGATTAAAAAGAATAAGTTTAGTTGGTCTGTAAGCTGTCTTCCAATCCAAAAATTATATATTCTGGTAATATTAATAATAAGTTGATAATTTGGGCTGTTATTAGATTAAGTCCATTTGGTTCTATTAATATGAATTTGGAGTATTCAAACTACTGCCTCCTGTCTGCCAGATACTGGCAATATAGTGATAAGCCAGACATCTTTCAAAGAGTTTCTGTTTTAGTAGGAGAAAAAGACAACCAGGGGAGCTTTTTAGTGACTGTCAGCACAGTGGTGAGCACAACAGGAGCAGCGGAGATGTGTAAGGAAGCAGCTAGAACCCAAGAGTGAGGAAGTAGAAACCTGCTCTTCTCTACCAGGTGGACACAAATAGAAAGTAAGGGCGGAGAGCTGGCTGCTCTTCCAGACTTCCTGAGTTTGATTCCCAGCACCCATGTTAGGTGGCTCCAGTCCTAGGGGATGGGGTAGGGAGGGCTGTCCAAAACCGCTAGCCTCTGTTGTAGGCACCTGCACTCACATGCCTATACCCACACAGAGACACGTGCACATACACATAATGTAAAGTGATAAATGAAAATCTAAAGAAGGAAATGGAAAATAACTGGACCTCAAGACTGTTCTCCTTTTCCAAAATCATATTCTGTGGACATCACTGATAGGCCAAGAGCCAAGTCCCACTGGCATTTAAGATTTTCTAGCAGAGGCTGGGGTATAGCTAGTGGTGGAGCATATGCTTAGCATTCAGTAGGTTCCACCCTCACACCAAAACAAAACCAGAGCTAATGGTGGGAGCCCCAGTGCTGTGTACAAGACCTGTTATGTCTGATTTTCATTTCCTCGTCTGTAATATGGAAGGTTAGGTCATCTCTGGTGGATTCTGAGAAGATGAAGAGCTAGCTTGCTCCTAGCAACAGCTCCTTGAGTTTACCAACAGAAAGTTTACACATTTTCTCTTCAAGATCCAGGTAGTCACAGCGCCGGCCATCTCCCTGTCTTTTGTCCCATAATTGTCCCCAGTGGCCTAGGTAGTAAAGACAAAGTTGCTTATTTTTTTTTCCACACTAGAAAACTTGCTGTTTAATGGGAATGCTTGGCTGTAAAAGGCTTTTACAGTCAGAAATAGCCTAGGGATGAGTGGTAGTGGCCATGTGAGCAGTGAAAACATTTAAGACATCAAGCAAAATTTCTATTACTTTATAGCGGAGGAGATTGCTTTCCCGAGGTGAATCCTGGAGGAATGGACCCAACCTCACAGGTCTCGACTGTACTGCTGATGTGGGGTAGATTGTTTAGAACCAAGGCACTGTCAGCCATTCCATAAAAGCAAAGTGAAAACCATGAAGGTATGGTCCACACTCAGAAAGAAAGTGACTAGAAAGATGGGCCAGGGGCTCTATTAGAGTGCTTGCTGCTGCTGCTCCTGAACATTGTTCTAAAGGAGATGAAGATCTAAGTTAGCTAAGATAAACTCAGGGACAAGACAGATGGGTACAGATGTGGCAGTGCAAGCACAGCCAAGTGTGATTGGGGCCGTGAGTAAGAATATAATGTTCACAATCTGATACGTTTGATATTTCTGCATGGCTGAAAGTTTTATAATATTTAAGGAGAAGAACAAACATTGAGAGTTTGGCTTTGAACAGAACAAGTGGACACTCACTCCTTGTTAGACCGGGGAACTATGGAAGGCCAGGATTGAAGCCTTAGTTTCTGTTGTTATTGTGGGCCATCAGTGTCAGCAGCTGGTCAGGGGCTAGAAGACACTGAGACTAAAAGTGGAGTAACCGCTGTGCACAAAGGGACAGGCCGAGCAGACGTTAGTGAAGGAAGGGCAGCGATGCCCAGGTCTGGGCTGTTGCCTGGCCTCATCTGCACTTTTCAGCGAGTTGATGGACACAGAGACCGGCGGTGTGGGGGCATCAGAGAAGGCAGAATCAGCAGGTACAGGGTGAGTCCCAGCACCTTTTCTGAGTAGTCTTATTACCTCTGGGGAGAATCTTTTTCTCCCCTACTGTCTTTTGAACTAAATGAGGTTAACAGTATCCAGTAACCCTTGTTGACAACTCTGGTCTCTAACTTACATGAATTTCTTGTCTTCCTTAGGTGAAAGAAGAACGTCCAGAAAAAGTGCCAGATTTAAAATTACTAGTGGAGAAGAAATTTTTGGCTTTGCAGGACAAGAATTCTGATGCTGACTTTAGAGACAATGAAAAGTTTGTTCAGTATAAGCAGCAGCTGAGGGAGCTGAAGAAGCAATGTAAGTTGGCTGCTTTGCTATGGTTTCTTGACGTGAGGGACCTGACCCGTGAGCAGTTCAGAACCACGGGCTTGGTAGCGTTCTTTCCTCTGCGTGCTTCCTCCTCCCGAGTGCCTTGTCTTGTTGCAGTCTTGTGTTTGTCTAATTTTAGTTCCAGTCGCCTGTCCATTTCTGAAAGCCTACAGTTTCCACAAAGTGTCTCACTGCCGTGGGGCGGGGGGAATTGGGAAAACAAAATAAAATGGGAAACCATTTTATTCAGATGATGATGGTAATTCTTCCAAAGTATGAACTGCTGTGCCAAGCTCTAGAGCATGTTTGTTCCTGTTTGCTGCTGTGGAGCAGCGTTGGAGAAGGCCCCTCAGTGTTCTTCTCAAATACAGTCCAAGTCCCTCTGACGCTGTGCCCTGGGCCCTGTTAATTCCTTCCATGTGATTTTAAATTGACTTCTACTTTAGATGACTGTTATGTTTAGAGTTTTTAATGGGCATAATTTTTGACTTGAAAATGAGATTCAGCAAACAATTCATTATACACACACACACACACACACAATCTTAGAGTGTACCAAAAATAACATGTCTGATGCACAGTGGAGAACCAGTGCTCCATTCTCTCTTGGTTTTCATGTGGTTCTCAAAATAGTATCAAGTGAATTATGTCTTTTTTGGTCTGGGCATCTATTTAGTTTTGTAGGGTCTTTTGGTTTGTTTTAGAATTGAGATTCATTTATTTCTTAAAGAATGGTATAAAAGAGCAGATATTTTTTCCCCCTCTTTAGCATTACTCGTCTTTCACATTCATTCGTTTACTGACAGAGCAGGAATGGTACATGTGACATAAGTTCATTTTGTGGCCATAGATGTACTCAGTGTAGCCATTTGTGTTTTAAAGTAGGCCTTCTTCTAAATATGAATGTTTTCTTTAAATTGGTGCTGAGATCTCAAAAATGACTGAGGAAGCTGCTTTAGTTTTGTCTATTTTACAAATAACTTAAATTTCACAATTTAGAATGTTTTGCAATCATGATGAGACTCTTGCTGTTCTGTAGATTTAAACAGTAAGCATTTTCCCTCTGGTTCTTCACTGAACATTGTCACTACCAAAGTCTGTCTACAGTAATTCTGTTCTGTTCCCCGGATAGAGAATAACCCCTAGAGGAGACAGGATGGGCCTTTCCGTTTTCACATTTCTTAGACACATACTTTTAAGTTTAGGGGACTTGGTTCTACAGATTATGACAGATATAACATCGAGTCAGAATTCCTTACTTTAACAGTATTTCATAATAAAAACTGAGGGGTAAATATAAAGAAATCTTTTCTCTTAACTCACAAAGTTATTGTTCTATAAAAGAAATTATAGTGACTTTTAGAATAATATGGTCTTGGAAGAAATTTCTAATTAAGAGCACATAATGCAACAAAGTAAGTATTGAAGTTGTGATTATTATGAAGCGAGAGAGAGGAGAGAGAATGAAGAGAGGTATGTTTCCCCAGGTCCAGCCGTACACATCATTTGGATAGTTAAATCTAATGACAGAGTAAATTTATATTGAAAGAAATGCTTCCTTATGTGAGAGTTCCTCATGTATTGCAACACTGGGATTAACAGAACTTTCCCTTTAATTTCCCCTAAAATGTTACTTTTAAAGGTCTAGATCTTAAATAGCAAACAGAATATTGGTATTTTTTTAAAGTGCTAGTAGAGCCGGGCAATGGTGGTGCACACCTTTAATTCCAGCACTCGGGAAGCAGAGGTAGACGAATCTCTGTGAGTTTGAGGCCAGCCTGGTCTACAAGAGCCACAGAGAAACTCTGTCTCGAAAAAAAACAAATAAAATAAAATAAAGTGCTAGTATATATATATATATATATATATATAGTGCACTGTGAGTTAAATTTGCAGGATATCTGATGGTTCTTCCCCCCACCCCCACTCTCCTGTGAGAGTCTTGATTAGGACCAGGCTCTCATAGTGATTGTAAGTCCAGATCTGAGGTATGCTGTGACTTATTGGATCTGTTCTGAGATATGTTCTGCAGTTAAGGAGTTGAAATAATAATCTTTTGTTTTTAAAGATTGAAAAATAGAAGTGAGAGACAGACCCTTGCTTGTAGTTGCCTAATTTGATGAAGTAAAAGCTGAAGTGAGATCCAGGCATAGTGGGGCAGGCCTGTAATCCCAGCGCTCATGGGTAGAGGTGAGCGGATCACAGCAGTTTCGGGCCAGCCTAGTCTCCGTCATGAGTTCCAGGACAGCCAGAACCATGTGGCGAGATAAAAACAACTGAAATATGTATGCAAAAGATTGTTCTTTCATGAAAACATGTTCTCCATATTCATTATGTGAGGTATAATTTGCAGGGGATTTAATTTATCAAATAATTTAATCAAAGAAATGTCAGGTAGTTCTTGAACAGGGTGGAGGATGGAGGTGGTTGAGTGGTGGGCAGGACTAGGCACACTCTGCCGCAGTCACAGTTCACCCTGCCGGAACTAAGCAGCTGGTTCACAAAGTTTGTGATCCCATGTCCTCCCGTGTCCCTTTAACATACTGAGTATACACTGCTGGGGTCCCAGGGCTTCTTCGCGCGTGTGTGCCTCGGTAGTTATCCTGTAGGAAATCAGGATTCAAACATAATTATCTATTTTAAGAACTATGCCCATTACATGTTAAATATAAACAACATTTGATATGAAGTGTAACTACTCCCCAAACATAAGAAAATTTACCGAGACAAGAAGGCATTGTTTCTCATTTTTACAAAGCTCAACTTCTGACCCACAAAGCAGCTGGGCCCTCTCCCTTGCTTTTGCATTGCTCTGTGTACCTTGTTCTGGTGGAAAGAAAGTAAGGTCTCACACATTTGAATAGTAGTTGCGTTTTCAGACCACCAGAAATTCCCGTTTTTAAAATACCAGATCTGGGCTGTCTGGTACAAATTCAGCTGACAAACTAGGAATAGTTTTTTATAACTGTAATTATTGGAGGAGATTTTCAGTTGTTGGGGAACTCAAAGCAGGGGTACTACTTAGTGATGTGAAAATAACATAAAGATCTGCTTTCGGTGTTTATAAACAGGTTGATTGGAGCCCAGACATGCTCTCTTGTTTGTGTGTCGTCTGTGTGGGTTTCACAGGGTCATTTCAGATTCCTATTGCATCACAAACCACTGATCCACAGAGCTTACAATACGTGCTGTCTCGGGGCTTTACAGAAGAAGTTTAGTATTCCTGATCTAAACAACATCTGGAAATAAGAAGAGTTTCTTGGTTGTTTAACTCTAGATTCTGCCCACCCCCCAAATACCACACATTTATGTTGGGTTATTCACAACACTTTAATGTAGATTGCTTGTTCTGCATTAATTCATGTAGCTGATAGTCTCGAATGAATACAAGTTGGGAACTTAGTACTTGGGGACAAAAACAATACATGCAAACATAAAACAATGTGAGGACCATTAACATAATAAATCAAAAGCAAAGACAATGTCAGAAACAAGTATTAATGTGAGGAAAGTCAGGACATTTTTTCTAGCCTGCTCATATCGCCTGTCATCAGTCGGGGCTCTGTGGAACAATATATTCAGGAACTTTCTGAGGTCGGGCTTAAGCTCTGTAGGAAAGATGATGCTGATTGGTTGCTGCAGGGAAGAGGAGGCAGTGCAAGTGCTAGCGTTTCCCATTCCTAGAATGTAAACCTAATGGATTGGCTGGACCTGTTTAGGGATAGCATTACTCTAAAGATAACATGTTTGATTTGCATATAGTAATGTTGGAGTGATTATGTCTTGTAGATGAACTACGTATCAGATCCGGCTTCTCTGAACATGTCATTTTTATCCCTTGGATACCTGATGCCCTATTGTGATTGTTTCTCTCCATGTTGTGGTAAAAGCACCTGGCAGAAAGAACCTCAGGGAGGGAATTATGGTTCACAGTTTCCAAGATTCCAGTCTGTGTTCATGTGCTTGCCAGTCATGACAGCACTAGCCTGTGGAGAAGTTTGTCCACTTCTTGGCTGACGGGAAGGGCCAGGGACAAGATACCCCCCAGACCTGTCCCTGGTGCCGACTTCTTCAGGCTACATACCGCCTCCTAAGGTTTCCAGACCCTCACAAAAAAGACGGGAACGTTAGTGTTGAACACATGAGCCTTTTGGGGAATTTCATACTTAATCTATAATACCTTTCTATTAGAGGAATTACATCTGCCCCAGTTTGTTTCTCAGGATTGTCACCTCTGGTGTGAGGTACTGGTTCCTTGTAAACTCTCAAACTTGTTTTCATTTATTACTGAAATACAATAGCCTAGTATATAGCGTCGTAGAAAGAATATAATCTTAATAGCCAGAAAAATTTACATTCCAACATGAATTAACTTTTACATCTGTTCTTTCTGTCAGCCAGTTAAGACAGCTGTGTATTTTGTGTTCATCTGAGGTTTGTCCTCTTCCTTTACTGTGATAAAAGTCATGGTCAGGCTCTGTGATGTACCCAGTATATAAATTCTTAGCACTTGTAAATTAATGCATGGCAACCACTATTGTTTGAATGCCTGTCTGTGCATGAATTTTACACACACACACGCACACACACCGCACACACACCTTGCTATTTATTTCTCACCACTCACCAAGATGACTGGAGAGCGGTAATATAACTTGCTTTTCACCCATCATGCTAAAGTTCAGGTACCATTTGGGTGACAAGAAAGCCTGTGAGCGTGTTTTGGTTTATATTTCTTTTTTGTTTTTGTTTATCTCAAGTTCTCCCAACTCTTGAAAAATACTCTTTTCTCTTAACTACTTCACTCATTTTTTTGAGAGAGGAACTTGTAAGACTGTCAAGTAATAATTCATCTGGGTCACTAATCATGGAACTGTGTTCTAATGACCTTGAGGGGAGTCTGTTTGTCTAGCTGACAGGAAGCTGTTCCTAGCAGTGGATTTAGAAAGCAGGGAGTTGAGATCCAACAGACATTGCGTACTCTTCTTCTCTCAAGCCCACGATCCTGACGGTGCGTTTGATACACAGCACCGAGACTGACATTTCCCTTGTAAATAGCTGCTGTGTTTGGCAGAGGAATGGGATATTCATTACATCACACGTTTACTGCGAGTTCTGTGAAATTTATTTCAAGCCTAACACACAGTAAACTGGCGCACGCATCCTCATTTCAGTCTTTACAGTATCCACATGGGGGAAAGGAACGAACAAACACTGCCGGTCCTGTTTTTAGCAGACCTCACACTGTATAATGAGACTCATGGAGGTGATACATTTACCCAGTGTTTCAGTCTGGCCACGAAGCTGGCAGATACATTCATAAGGAAAAGGAAAGTTTTAGAATGAGAGATGACTATATTTAAAGTTAGTAAAGGAAGCTCTCTTGTCAAGGTACAACTGAGTCAGCAGCAATTGGAACAACTGAACTGTGGGTGTTTCTCTCGTTGTGGCTTTTATGAGGGTGCTGTTATTCATAATAGGAGGCAGCTGGACTCTAGGAAGACCAGAGCCTCGGTGCCCCGGAGCTGACAGATGTTATACTTAAGGAAATAATTACATTGTCAAGTTGTTGTTACAGAAATTAGAAAGGTTTCGGTTTTGTAATCTATATATAATCGAAATGTCAGATATATTATTAAGTATTTCTAGTACCTCATATATTTGTGTTTTAGAAAGATTTTTAAATAGAAGCTGGCAGCTCAATATTACTGTGTTTGCATATAGCAAGTGGGCAAGAGTCAGTTAATTGTTCTGAAACTTTAAAGTGAAACAAAATGTGTCAAGTTAATAATTGCTATTTGGCTTTAAGAAGCACCTGGGACTGAGTATTCTCTACGCATATGGTAGCAGTTATGGGGGCAGGGCAGGGCGGAAACATGGCTGCAGCTGACCCATGGGCTGCACAGAGCTCTGGACAGAATGCATTGCTAGTAGACAACATTTGAAATCAAGCCAACTGGTATATTCTTGCACATTCAGAACAATAGTGACTTCCTATATTTAATTTCAACTTAAAGTTTTAGAAGCATCCATTCACGTGATATAACAAAGACATGATATTGGGAGTAAAAAGCTTCTGTGCCCCCTCTGGCCATCCAGTTTCTATCTTTGGGTCTCATATACTCGCTTCTTTAAGGCTTTCTTCTTCAACTGTTGGAGTGTGACATGCTCAGTTGTCGGAATACACACTGCCTCTATTTTACCATCTGAATTAATTTTCTTAGAAATTATGTATCAGAAAATCTTCCTTAGGTAGATGTTCAGAAAGAGTGGAGCAAAGTGGATTCAGTGCAGTGGTATCCCTTTCAATACTAATTCTAATTAATACATCAATAATAATTTGAATTATTATCAGTAGGTTAGTTAAATATGCTACACTGATAATGTGGAATTTTTACCTTTCAAAATCACCTTAGGAATTAAATGCTTTTACTACTAAGAGTTTTTAAAAGTAGGATACAAAGTTTAATAGTAGCTCCAGGCCTGGTAGCTCATGCCTGTATGCCCATCCATGATAGATGAGGCAGGAAGTTTGAACCGGCTACATAATGAGTTCCAGGCTAGCATGCACTACATGTAGCCTGAGGCTGCCTCAAAAAATAATACATAATAAATAAAAGTTAAAATGTTTAGTATGATTGCATGTAAAGGAGACTTTACCTGAGTGTAGTGGCACATGCCTGCAACCCCAGAACTCGGAAGCTGAGAAGAGAACGGATGCAGGGCTGACAGCAGCTTGAGCTGGATAATCACGCCTGTCTCAGAGCGGAAACTCTCGTAGATTTCGTCAAATTTTAAAACATTTGACTCATTAAAAGACAAAGAAACTATTCAGGAAATGAATAAGCAAACTATAAATTGGTACAGAATATTAACCTATCATATCATATCATATCAGAATATTGACCTATCTAACCAAAGGCTAGAGGATATCCAGGCTCTATGAGAAGTATTAACATAATAGAAAGAAAAACATTAATGCTGAACCCAGGATTGAAGACTTCCAAAGGAAATTCACAGAAATAGCCAATTAGCATGTACGGAAGATCCCTACAAGCCCACCTTCACAACCCACACTGCTGAGTGGCATCATGATCTACCCCACCTCCATCCTCAAGTCCAAGAAGTTTGTGTGCACTTGTACTTCACCTTCTAAGTGAGTCTGTATAATGTCAATAAAAACCACATTTTTCCCACCACTAAACACTGCTACAAGCTAGGAACAACAAAAACGCTGTTTTGCTAGAAAAGATGAATAAAGTCTGGGGCTGTAGTTTAGGACTGGAGCGTGTGGCCCAGACGTGCAGGCCCTGAGTGCCATCCTCTGCCACTGCCGAGTGTGGCGGGCTGCAAGTATAAAGTAAAACAAAAGGCGTGTTCTTTCCTGAGACTTCAAAGGCGCTCTTACTCCATGCTGGCCAGCAAACTCATCTGAGCATGCCGCTCCTGTGCTCGCCTGTAACCAAGTCTTTGTTAGTGCCGTGCCATGTCGTTCTGGAAGCAGCCGAAAGAATGAATGGCTCTTCTAAACCAGCACTAACACTTTGTGTCTGCCGGAAGCAGGGGTGCAGTGTTTGCGACTTCTGTAGAAGGCATGTTTTATCTTCAAAACACATGTATTACTTAACAGCAATGTGAAGGAGTGATTAGACCTGTAGTCCTCTTCGACAGATGAGGTTCTGCAAAATTGAGTATCCTGTACAGTTTGATCACCTCCCAGAATTCTTTTTGTCCCCTTATAATTGACACCTCCCAACATCTTCAGCCACTGGCAACTACTGTTGATTTTAAGTCTTTCACAATGATGAATAAATGGAACAACACAGCCTGCAGCCCTCTGAGTGACTACTTTCATTTACCAGAATGCATGGAGGTCTACCGTGGGTGCTGTTGACATCAGCAGCTTGGTGGTGATTTCTGAGTAGTCATATGCCACATGGGTGGTGCATTTATCCATTACCCGTTGAAGAGCATTTCTGTGGCTGTCACTTGTGGCTTTTGTGAGCAGAGCTGTTCTAAGCATCCACTTACGTGCTTTAATATGGGTGTAGGTTTGCATTTCCCTTGGGTAGCTACCTAACCATGGCATTGATGACTTGTGTGTTAAGTATATGGTGTTTTGCTTATAAGAAACTGATCAAATGTTTTTCAGCATGCAGCACAAGAGGGTTCTGGTTGCTATGCACCCCTACCAGCACGAGAGTTAGTTTGGCTCTATTTTAAATTTAGTCATTCTAACTAGTACGTGGTGGTATCTTAAAGTTTTAACTTACCTTTTTGGTCTTTTTGTATTTTAATTTTCATGTAATGTTCATATCTCTCTAGTCATTTATTACATTTGCTCTTTTTTGTTGTTGTTTCTTCAAGACAGGGTTTGCCTGTGTAGTTTTTGGTGCCTGTCCTGAAACTGGCTGGCCTCGAACTCACAGAGATCCCCCTGCCTCTAGCTCCTGAGTGCTGGGACTGAAGGTGTGCGCCGTCACCACCCAGCCCTACATTTGCTCATAATTTATTCCACATACACCAGCAAAAGTCAAGTATAGTGGTCTCTACCTTAGCAGTGGGCACTGGAGGCAGAAAGATCAGAAACTTAGGATCATTTTCATCTGTATGGCAAGCTCGAGGCCAGCCGGGCCTTCATTAGATCCTATCCCAAAAATATATATAAACACAATAACCCCCAAATACCAACAGTGTTAGTGCTACCTGGACATGTTAAGTATGAACTGCCATTTTCTACTGCAGACCAGTTGACTCTAAAGCTGGGAGAGAGGTTGAATTTAATTTTAATTTTTCCTATATTCTGAGTTTGAGAACCATTGTCTGCTGTAGAGGTGCTCACCTCTTACTAGACATCAGGAGCAACTGTGAACATTAAACAATATGACAAAAATCCAGGCCTCATTCCCTAGCAGGGAGATTTAGGTAGGCCTGTAGGCATTAAAGTTCCCGGGTGGTGTTAATGTACAGTCAGGCTAAAAATAACCAATCCAGTACAGCTTGCTTGAACATCGATTCAAATCTGACACTAGTTCCAGACTTCATGTGCTTATTATCCAAAAAAGAAGATTCATCCGTGAATAGCTTAGTATAGTTAGAAGCACATACTAGTTACTCAGCTATCGCCTCGTGAGCTACAGTGTACTTGGTGTCTCGATTGGTAGTCCTGTCTGCCTTGAACTTAATGGTCTTCCTGCCTAAGCCTCTTGGGTGTATACCTGGCTATATTGGAGAGCCTTATTTTTATGCTTAATATTGCACTTAGCATTCATTTATTCATTCAGTAACTATTAAGTGTGCTGAAAAACATAAGTAAATAAAAAAGTCTCTGTTATCACCAAACCTACATTCTGGTCTTTGGCATTTAGTTAACCCAACTCTCTGATAGTATTTTGTTGACAATACAGTGCTTTTCTTTGTGATTCTTAAGCACATGTGTTTATTTTTATACATTATTTATACTGAGGTGTGTGTGCACACTTGTGTTTAATTCACATGTTAATAAGATGGCTAAGACTAGCAACCACCAACAAATTTGAGAAAAGAAAATATAAGTTGAGATTCTGTCCAACCAAGTAGTAGTCTGTATTTTTTTTTATTACCTCGGGGGAGTTTTACTCTTGGAAAGTATGAGTCTGTGCTAATAACACTAATAAGATTGATGCTAACCAGCCCACAGAGCTGTAGAGGGATTAGATAAGATCCTGAATCTGAAAGGCTTTATAAACTCACAGACTCCCTAACTATTAGTTTCCTGGTTCATTTACTCTGATGACTTTTATTTATATCTAAATGTAGAAGGGTAAACATTTTTAGAGGTTCTATCAATGGCATGAATTTGTAAGTACAAAGAAACAAAATCAGCGTAGGTTAGTCATTTTGCTACATTGCTAAGAGATTTTAACAAAGGGTGGACTATAAAGTAGTGAGAAATGCTCTGTAAGTGAAAAGGTGTGAACGAAAAGCTGTGGGAAGGGAAGAGATCGTATTTTCAGTGTATATTGGTTTGGCAGTATTTTCTTGCTAGGGAAGCAGAGACTGAGTGCTTAATAATTGTTAAGTGGGCATAGTGAGCCATAACTGCAGTCCCTGTATGCGGGAGGCTGAGGCAGGAGGATCTCCATGAGCTCAAAGCCGACTGAAATATGTAATGTAGTGAGCTCTAGATCAGCCTGCATGACAGATCTTGCCTTTTAAAAGAACAAAAGAGTATTACTCATATAGTGAGACGGCCTGTGCTTGGGATGAAAACATACTCATTGTAAACAGATGTTGTAGCGCTGTATCATTAATATGTGTCATATGAGCCTTCAGTATGTTAGGGATTCTTTGGTAGATACACAGTAGATTGAACTGGAGGACATGAACATGGAATCTACTGTCAGAACTTGGTTATTTAGTAAACTTCATTTTAAAGAAAAGATGGTGTAATAACTTTTGTATACACACATACACAGGTGTGTGTGTCCGTCCATCCATCTGTCCGTCCTCACAGCAGGCTTTTTTTGTTTGGTACTGGGGATCAATCAGGTCAAGGACCTAGTATTTGCTGGACAAGTGCTGTAACCCACTGGGCTTTGCCTCCAGTCCATATCTCCTGTTAATCTACTTCCCAGGCTTCATCTCCCCCAGGCTCCTGCAGAGTAAGATCTACAGTAGAGAGGGAAAGGAGGCGAAATGACTGCCTGGAAAAGTGGCTCTTGCTGAGAATCCTTTTACATGGTCTCCACAGTCAGCCTGGCACACCTTGTGACATGTGCAGCCTACATTGCTTCCTCCTCTAGGAGAGACTGAGAGCTGATGATTGGTTTGTAGAAGAATTAATCTGAGGTACATACATGTCCATATTTCCTTTGGCTCTCGCACCCCACATGTATGGCTTGCTTGTTAATTTCTTTTTCAGTGAATAGGCAACTGCTGTATGTAGCATTGGGAAGGTTTGAGAAATAGTCAAGTAATTGATTCCTTTCGTGGGAGAGGCAAGGGGGTTGTTCAGATGAGAGTTGGGAGTCCTAGAACATGGCATGTAAGATCCAGAGAAACAAAATGTTTCTGATCCTAGCACTTGGGAGGCTATGGCAGGAGGAGCAGGGCTTTGAGGCTAGCCTCAACACTATAGCAAGTTTGAGGCCAGCCTGAGCTACAGGCTGAGCTACTTGGTCTCAAATAAAATAAAACAAGAAATTCAGAGAAGATATTTAAAATCTGAAGGATTAGATGGACGAAAGATTTTCAGTAGAGCTTTAAAGACTAAATATCACTGGGTTATTTTAAATAAATAAAAAATACAATTTTCAGGTTCACATAAATGTATCAGCCTTCTCTTGTGAGATTCCTCCCTTCATCTCTAGTGTGCAGTTTATATTTGGTTGAAGTATCACGTAAGTGAAAGCAGACTATCCCCTTTGCTAATCTGCACCCTAAGGAATTGCCGTGGAACTAGGACTTAATATTTACTTGAGGAATAAAAACCTAGAGAAGATTGTGTGTGTTCATGCATGTTCTCCCCCTTCTTTTCCTTCCATGGCAAATGTTCGACACATACTAATCCTGAGCATGAGAGGATAAGACAAGGCCTCGTGTCCCTTTTCACCAAGGGCACCTCGGCCCGTCTTTCTACAGTGTGTGGCTGCCAATTGGCTGGAGATGCCAGACTTTCTGGCAAACTTCCTCACCCAATTTAACCACTGAGTTCTTCTTGATGGAAGATTCTTCCTCCTTTTCTTAGGTAACACTAAACTTTGACTTAATTTCGATTGCATAAAGTAGGAAACTTATAACTTAGGCTCAAGAACTTTCCATTCCCTCTGTCAGCATCAGCCTTGATTGACAGTGTACACTGTTTCTGTTCTGTTGTGGCATTGATCCTGTCTCCCCTCAAAACATCAACTGACCATGATTCTTACATTTGGTAGTATTGCAGTCAAGAATCTATAGTAGCCTATTTACAAATATTTTCCTTTTGCTTTAAAACACAGTGCTTTTATTTTATATGCACCAAAAACAAAAAGAAAGACAGATTCTTCTTGTTAGAGATAGGTAAAGGGACTGGAGAGACGGCTCAACAGTTAAGAGTGTCAGTGGACTTGAGTTCAGTTTCCAACCCTCACATAGGACAATTCACAACTGCCTATAACTCCAGCTCCATGGGATCTAACACCCTCTTCTGACCTCCACGGGCATTGATATTTACACACACACACACACACACACACACACACACACACACACAGTAACTACAACAACAACAAAACAAAAACCCTGAAATACAGAATACATTTTTAAAGAGGGCGTCAGTCGCTTAATAAACTGTGCCATCTAGTTCTGTTCCTGGAAACTTCTCCCAAGGCTCTCTCCTGTTCTTCCTGTTCCTTCTACTGCTAGCCATATATACTCTCAGCTCCAGCTTGCTGCAGAATTCTTGCAGTCTTCCAAGATGATTGATGATTGCACAGGATAGATCTGATGGTGCTTGCACTTGTGAAACTGTCAGAAATGGATTCATGTTCTTTGGTGGCTCCCGTCAGCCCTCTGGAGTAGTAAAGGCTATCTGACTCCTTTCCTCCCTTCTTCTCTCTAGTCTTTCGTCCCAGACACTCATAATCCCTAGAAAGTACTAAGTTCTCTTTCACCTCCAGACATGCTCATCTCTTCGTGGTACATTTCCACCCCTTCTCTTTCTTCCTTTGCTTATAG